GGGGGGGGGGGGGGTAATGCCTCGCCACCCAGCCTCCTGATTGGTCAGCTTCCCTACATTCAGTAAGCTGGGCGGCGAGTCATTACACATGCTTCCTATTCACCTGGTAACGGCTTCCGGGCTAATAGGGAAGCCGGGCGGCGAGTACCGAAATATATATATTTGTACTTGATAGCGAAAACCTGGTATTGCTGCATCCCTAATATTATCCATATGCATCTATAGTTTAAAATATACACTGGTCATTTAAAGTGACGTTTGATCTGCTTATATTTTGACTTCCCTGATTCCTCCTTTCCCCATTCATAAGCATAATGACATTTTGAGATCAAACCTTTTACATTTTCATTACATATTTAACTTTAGTCCTAGGGATGTCATCACTGGGTCTCTGTGCAATGCAGGCAAATCACAGCTGGTGGGAGGGTGCTGTACATAGCTACTTGAAAACATCACAGCACCCTGCCTCAGTACTCCCTTAAGGAGCCCTCAGCCCTGATATAAGCAGTGGGTTGGATCTTGGGCGGAGTTATGCAAATATCAAAATGCCTTAATGGGTGGGTGTCAATCTGCAAGAGTGGGAGTTACTAGGCGGGCTGTGCTTGCATGCAGGCTGCACTTGGTAATGCCCCCATTTGAGGCTGAGAATCCATGACTGAAATAACTAAAATCCAATCCAAAGGGGTGGACCAGAGACAGCCAAGCTGGGGAGGAAAGTCTAGATGAGGATGGATGTCCTCCAGCCAGGAAATGAGGCGGGCTCTATGTGACTTGCTGTAGCTTCTAATGCACATTGTGAGGAGCTCCCAGTGTGCAGTGATATCAGAGTAAGTAATATCTGTCCAGGAGAGGAGCCGGTACAACTGTGCAAGAATGAAGGGAAGGCCGGAGGTCAGCTATAAGCCTTAGTAACCCCCCCGCCATGTTATTTGAAGATGATTTATCTCCCCCTTATGCTTCTTCTCCCAGCCACATTGTTCTCTGGTGGCTATTCCTGTTCCAGCGCTCTCATTAAAATATGTGATCTCCGATTTTGTTCCAGTTATGTAAAAACTTCAGAGAAAATCGGAGAGTGGAACGAGAAAATGACTCAGTCCGACGTGTGAGTTTCCGTGCAGTTGCACTTCTCCTGTCTTGCTGCAGGGGGCACTGTCCTTAATGAATGGTGTGAGCGGATGAGCGAGTGTCTATGTACCTGCATAAGGGGGGGCAGAGTGCATAGTACGCATGCGCACGTGCACTGACAGAGGTGGCGGTTGGTTGTTTTCCTGCTTTTAAGGTTTTGTTCTAACACGCTGCTTAGCTTAGATTAACAGGTCTGGTGTTACCGCTTCCCTGAGCTTTGCCTGTGCTGGGTGCTGCTTGCCTGCCTCCTGGTTGTTGGTCTGGTATATATAACTCTTTTTGTCTACTGCAGATACAAGAAGACTCAAGAAACCCTGTCTACCGCTGGGCAGAAAACTACCGCAGCGCTGTCTAATGTCGGCTCCGTCATTTCCCGGAAGCTGGGGGACATGAGGTGAGGGATTGGGGTTTGCAGCCTCTGGGGGTGACAATAATGGACAGCTATGCATATGGAAATCAGCAATCAGTTTTCAGTTTCTGACCTTAGGTTTTTTTTATTTTGGATTGGGTGGGAGCTATGAATCATTAGATTTTACTTCTCCTTGTTGGGAAAATTCCCCTCACTATCTCTGGGACACACTGACACAAAGGGTGACCCCAGGGTAGGGAATACTCTAGGGGTGACCCCAGGGCAGGGAATACTCTAGGGGTGACCCCAGGGTAGGGAATACTCTAGGGGTGACCCCAGGGCAGGGAATACTCTAGGGGTGACCCCAGGGTAGGGAATACTCTAGGGGTGACACCAGGGCAGGGGATACTCTAGGGGTGACACCAGGGCAGGGGATACTCTAGGGGTGACACCAGGGCAGGGGATACTCTAGGGGTGATTCTTATCATTATTGATTCTTATTAGGGAGATGTTCCCTCTCTATATATCCTGATCACCAATGTCATCAGGAATGAAAGTGAGGGTAAAGGCAATATTTTTAGTTGCCACCAGAACAGGACTAGAGGGCAAATCTTCCAGTGGGGACATCTGACTGTGTAAGAGGGAATTTCCCTCATATGGTACGATATTTCTTCACTTCCTGTTAGGTCTAGGAACAGGAAGTAATGATAAATCTCCCTAGTGAAGCAGAAAGGCAAAATAAACTGGCAGTGGTTTTAATCCTCCCCTACGCTATCCACAATGGACACATAAAAAAAAATTGGGCTTTACATGTACTTTAAACTTTGTACTTTTGTATCTATATTTAGATAAAGAATATCTATATTTATTTATACTTTAAAGGTGTTTATAGAAAGATCTGTAGGGGTGAAGATGTTTCTAAATCTGCACCTGTTTTGGTTTTGTTTATGTATCTAACCATTAATCTCTTCCATCACTAACACTCTAAACAGCCACAAAATGGTCCAGGCAGCTATTTTGCCTTTGGAGGTTTTTGGAGGGTAAGAGACCCCGTGTGGCCGTGTGATAACTATCCACTTTTCTTAGACAGGCCCTCTTAATCAGTACTGTGTCCCTTCACTGCTCGGGAGGCGGAGCAAAGGAAAAACCCTCCTGCCCAGTGTCCTTTAAAGCGGAAGTAAATTCCAAACTGCAACTTTTCCTCATTTACAAGCACATTGTACATCCTCCTTGTTGCCTTTGTCCCTCGTCTCCAAAGCATTGCCATGCTCTGTTTCCCAGTAATGTCACAAGCGCAGTTCATCACACATTCCTGCCATCAGCATGCTGAGATGTGAAGAGTGCCTATGCCGGGGATGATCCCTGGTTTAGGCGTTCGCTTTTGCGAAACTTGTTCCCTTTCGGGATTTGTTGATGGAGGGCAGGAGAAAATGCTCACAAGATGGTGCCGGCTTCAGCAACAGCCGTGGTAGATCGGCCTAACCCAGCAAACAATGTTTGGAGGATTTATCAATGATTGGTTGGATTGAGGAAATTGGGTTCCAGTTGTGTTTTTTTGCGGTGGACAGCCGACTTTACTTCCGCTTTATATTGGGTGTTCTTCTTAGACTTACTCATGTTCGGGAGATAACAAGAAGCACGCATGAAGGAAGAGAAAATGGCGCAGCTCCTCTCCCTTCCTTTTCTATACACATCTTTACAGGTAGTCAAAGGCCGATGCTGTATGGAAACCAGGGGCGTCCCGAGGCTGGGTGACACCCGGAGCGGTGTCCGAGTGTCACCCCGCCGAGACGTCACCGCGCGTGTGCTTGATGACGTCATCGCGCACGTGCGGCAGTGTTCTGATACTGATAGGAGGAGACTGCAACCCGGCGGCATACCACATCCCCTTCTCTCTCCTGATACTGTCGGGCGTTCGGTCCATGACCGAGCGCCCGACTTTTCAGAGGGGGGTGACACCAAAATGACTAAGTCATTTTGGTATCACCCCTCCAATGGTGTCACCCGGGTGCGGGCCGCACCCCCTTTGTGACGCCACTGATGGAAACTATTATGTCAGGCATTGGATCAGCATGGTATGGGAAGCACACATCAGTGGTTAATGCTACCGTAGGACGTATGCTTGTCAGAGTAAACCTATGCCATATTTTAGCTGTCAATGCAAGTTATATATTTCCCATAGGACTTTGCACTGCCATAAAGCAAACCAGTGCATTGCCCATGCAGGATAAAGCAACAGCCTTGTTTCCAGCCCCGTTCCTGCAGCTTATACAATCCCGTCCTTTGCTCCCCCGCCGGTCTGGTCAGCTACCAGTAGTGAGAAAACTTCTGCGTATGGGGTATTATATTGCTCACTTCATATTACACTGCTGGTCCCACTTGTCAAGTACCAGTGCTGTCATATGGGAATTGCCCATAGCTTTGCGTAAGCTACAACTTGAGCAGGCTGTAGCTTTACAAGGCAGCTTGTACTACACCCAGTGACTGAGTGGAGCAGCAGGGAAGCGAAGGAAAGGTACATATGGTGAGGGGACATTAATCCCTTCCCGCCAGCTGTATGCATATGTGCTTGCACGGTGGTGGGCTTTAACGTCATGCTGCCACATACATGCTTCCAGCCAGCGTCGCTGTTTTGTGCTGGGAGCGCACTAGCTTGGCACCCCCAGCACTGACTGCACTGTCACCAGTGATCAGGAGCCTGTGACATTGGCTTCCAATCATGTGATCACTGTGACAGCCAATCACAGGGATCATATGATTGGGAAGCCCATGTAACACCTCTGCTGTTATCCCCTTTTAAACGGCTTGCTCCAATTGGCTGGAAGAGGTTTGAGTGGTGCTTTTTTGCATACAGCAGTGGGTGCAAAGCTTCATCTGTTAGAACCCTTAGTATGTGTCCTGTGGCCCTAAGCCAGACGTATAAAGTGACCCTGTCTTGGGCTGCATCACAATCACATCGTGAGATGTTTTCCTACTCTCAGAAGTGACAACGTTTATTGTATCAACTGGATATCACTTTGATTGTTCAGCCTTTATTTGTCCTTTCTAAATGATGTTCTCTTTGGGTAATCAATGTGTTCTAAAAAGGTTGCCAATGTTTAGTGGGGGGGTGGGGGGGTGATGGTGAGGGGGCTTTCTTTTTCCTTATGTCAGATTAACAAGTATTAAGGGGACCTCTGCAGCTTTGCTGACTCTCTACCTACCCTTCCTCTCCCTCACAGGGCCCTCCCTTTCTCTCAGTCTTTTAGGTAAGAGGAGACGGTCCTCTGCTCCGTGTTCTTCATCTCCCCAACATATACGTCTACACCCTTCTATATGTACACAGATGTTAGGTATACCTTACATAATAGCTCACTTTTGCCACCAAGTGTAGGTTTGGCTGCTTGACAAGAGTACAACCTTATTGTTCTGCTACTTGCAGTTTACTGATTAGGGATTCTCTGCTTGCCAAACAGTAGGGGGTCACCAGCCCCTTAATGGTTGTTCTGCCGGTATGGGGATAGTGGCCCGGTATTGCTAAAACAGTCTGTGATCTCATATTGCTTTTTACGTCTCGTACGTACAATTCTGCAAGATGGCAGACAGTCGCAGGTTCTTAAAGAGAGTCTAGGTGGTGGAGTCCTTGACCCTTCTGTTAATGGGAAGTTCAAGTATGATATAGATATTGGTAGGTCCCCTACATGAAGGGCCCAGGCTTGGTCTTGGGTTAATAGCTCAGGACTTGGGCAAAGCTGTTGGAATAGTCTAGAATAGTGTTTCTGGTAACAATTGCTCAGAGAGGTTCCAAGGGACCACCCTTAATCTGGGCTTAGGAATGTTTAAAATGTAGAAGAATAGGACATGTAATGGAATCTTTGAAAGATAATATGTATATAGTCTGCACCTGTCCTTGGTTTAACATCTCTTGGTGCTATGTGTGATAAAGGGGACTTGTTCAAGCGGACCTTTACCCCCTTTGACTAAAAATCACATGAGCATACAGCTCTGCATGCTGATATGAAATCATCTTACATTCATTAGTTAAACATATTTTAATTTACTTAGTCTTCTTTTTTCCACTTCCTGGTCCATTTTGGCACAAATGATGTAATTGTGCCCAAGCGCTGCATCCTGGGTAGGTTACATCAGCAGAGCATTGCTGGGAAATCTCATCTGTCATCTCATGAGATCTCAGGGAAAGGCATTTTCCTCCCCTGAGATGATGTGCATGGCCACACGTCCTAGTAGCGTGTGCTAGAGTTCCAGGAAATAAAGGGAGAGATATTCATCTGCCCTTAGTTAAAATGGCCGCTGTGAGAAGAATAGGGAGGGAAATAAATAAAAGATATGCAAAGAATAAAAAGGCGGCCATTATTAGAAGTATCTGTGTGTAGACTGTCATTACTAAGCATTTCTAAAGGTTTTGACGATATGGGTAAAGTTCCTCTTGAAGATCTTAAAGGGCTTTGGTAGCTGTAGCAGACAGTCAGCATCGCTTACTTCTATCAGACATCATGATTATTAATTAGAAAATGGAGCCAAAAGTTGCTGTTTGGGACATGGACCATGTCATAAGGATATAGCCCGCATTAAAGGACCAGCACAGAAGTTAGAAAGTTGGCAGGGGGTGGGGCCAGGTTTGACTTTTATCAAAGTCAAGATTTGGAAGTAAATTCAGCTGCCTATATTTTTGGATCGATTGATTATATTGATATGCTGCTTGTGTATTGTATCCATGATATGCTAGGTTTCAGTTTCCAAGGTTGGCAAGAAAATCACTTTAGGTCACTTGAATCATTTGATAGAAAGACATTACACATTCATGTAGTACATTATACAGCAAAGCAATAGAGCAGTGATAATATTCAACGTATCCTATTCCATAGCCACCCATAATTATCGCCTATTGCCGCTCTCTCTGCTATAGGAGCGATGTGGTAGATTGCCGTAGCTGACCGCTGTTTGCACATTATCACTGCTCTCTGCATGGCCCTACTGACTAATCCTGTGTATACCCCAGAAGGTTCTTGTAGTTCTCCCTCTCTGTCATGTTGTGTACAAAAGGTGATGGTCTTAGTCCATGCATCTCTGTCCTCCTCCTTTGTATGTAGTGGATTGTGTATTGTTGCAGTGTGATGTGTCTGATTCTGTCTTATCACTATGCAGCCAGAGATTATTGAAGTCCATCTTACAAAGTCACTTCCTTTTATGTCTTTTGTAAGATCGCAAACATTCAGTAAGTGGAAATAAGGCTGTGTTTGTCGTAGAGGGAGCCATTTTGTGACTGGACCTATATTGGTATCAGTCTGTCCACTCACAAGAGACCGGTGACTTCACTGAGAATGCAGCCTATCAATTCACTAGAGGCCGGTGACATCACTGAGATTGCAGCCTATCAATTCACTAGAGGCCGGTGACATCACTGAGATTGCAGCCTATCAATTCACTAGAGGCCGGTGACATCACTGAGATTGCAGCCTATCAATTCACTAGAGGCCGGTGACATCACTGAGATTGCAGCCTATCAATTCACTAGAGGCCGGTGACATCACTGAGATTGCAGCCTATCAATTCACTAGAGGCCGGTGACATCACTGAGATTGCAGCCTATCAATTCACTAGAGGCCGGTGACATCACTGAGATTGCAGCCTATCAATTCACTAGAGGCCGGTGACATCACTGAGATTGCAGCCTATCAATTCACTAGAGGCCGGTGACATCACTGAGATTGCAGCCTATCAATTCACTAGAGGCCGGTGACATCACTGAGATTGCAGCCTATCAATTCACTAGAGGCCGGTGACATCACTGAGATTGCAGCCTATCAATTCACTAGAGGCCGGTGACATCACTGAGATTGCAGCCTATCAATTCACTAGAGGCCGGTGACATCACTGAGATTGCAGCCTATCAATTCACTAGAGGCCGGTGACATCACTGAGATTGCAGCCTATCAATTCACTAGAGGCCGGTGACATCACTGAGATTGCAGCCTATCAATTCACTAGAGGCCGGTGACATCACTGAGATTGCAGCCTATCAATTCACTAGAGGCCGGTGACATCACTGAGATTGCAGCCTATCAATTCACTAGAGGCCGGTGACATCACTGAGATTGCAGCCTATCAATTCACTAGAGGCCGGTGACATCACTGAGATTGCAGCCTATCAATTCACTAGAGGCCGGTGACATCACTGAGATTGCAGCCTATCAATTCACTAGAGGCCGGTGACATCACTGAGATTGCAGCCTATCAATTCACTAGAGGCCGGTGACATCACTGAGATTGCAGCCTATCAATTCACTAGAGGCCGGTGACATCACTGAGATTGCAGCCTATCAATTCACTAGAGGCCGGTGACATCACTGAGATTGCAGCCTATCAATTCACTAGAGGCCGGTGACATCACTGAGATTGCAGCCTATCAATTCACTAGAGGCCGGTGACATCACTGAGATTGCAGCCTATCAATTCACTAGAGGCCGGTGACATCACTGAGATTGCAGCCTATCAATTCACTAGAGGCCGGTGACATCACTGAGATTGCAGCCTATCAATTCACTAGAGGCCGGTGACATCACTGAGATTGCAGCCTATCAATTCACTAGAGGCCGGTGACATCACTGAGATTGCAGCCTATCAATTCACTAGAGGCCGGTGACATCACTGAGATTGCAGCCTATCAATTCACTAGAGGCCGGTGACATCACTGAGATTGCAGCCTATCAATTCACTAGAGGCCGGTGACATCACTGAGATTGCAGCCTATCAATTCACTAGAGGCCGGTGACATCACTGAGATTGCAGCCTATCAATTCACTAGAGGCCGGTGACATCACTGAGATTGCAGCCTATCAATTCACTAGAGGCCGGTGACATCACTGAGATTGCAGCCTATCAATTCACTAGAGGCCGGTGACATCACTGAGATTGCAGCCTATCAATTCACTAGAGGCCGGTGACATCACTGAGATTGCAGCCTATCAATTCACTAGAGGCCGGTGACATCACTGAGATTGCAGCCTATCAATTCACTAGAGGCCGGTGACATCACTGAGATTGCAGCCTATCAATTCACTAGAGGCCGGTGACATCACTGAGATTGCAGCCTATCAATTCACTAGAGGCCGGTGACATCACTGAGATTGCAGCCTATCAATTCACTAGAGGCCGGTGACATCACTGAGATTGCAGCCTATCAATTCACTAGAGGCCGGTGACATCACTGAGATTGCAGCCTATCAATTCACTAGAGGCCGGTGACATCACTGAGATTGCAGCCTATCAATTCACTAGAGGCCGGTGACATCACTGAGATTGCAGCCTATCAATTCACTAGAGGCCGGTGACATCACTGAGATTGCAGCCTATCAATTCACTAGAGGCCGGTGACATCACTGAGATTGCAGCCTATCAATTCACTAGAGGCCGGTGACATCACTGAGATTGCAGCCTATCAATTCACTAGAGGCCGGTGACATCACTGAGATTGCAGCCTATCAATTCACTAGAGGCCGGTGACATCACTGAGAATGCGGCCTATCCATTCACTAGAGACCAGTGACATCACTGAGAATGCAGCCTAATATAATTTGGGCTGAGAAGACAGATTGGCTCCTTCCTAGTTAGCAGATTCTTTTTCAACTTGAAGATCCTGGCTGCATGGTCATCTCGTACGCACGTGTTGGGTATGTGTTCTGGTCGCTAACTCTGCTTTCTGCCCCCTCATGCCTTCCGAGTAGCAGTTACTCAATCCGTCACTCCATAAGCATGCCTGCAATGAGGTAAGGTATACTACCTGTACTAATAATACTCTGAGATGCTGACATATGCCACACAGTGCTTTAGAACATGTCATGTGTTTAGATAAACATACCTTGTGCCACAATGGAAATAATCGTATTTTTTGGTAATGTTTTGAAAATGCTGTTTCTGGGTATAGTTTGTACATATCGTGCTTGTGTTCAGTATGGATGCTGCATGCACTGTCTGATATGGATATAACCACTGCAGGTAGAGCAAGGGCTCTTGTAGCTGGCCTTTTGATGTGTTTTCAATCTGTATTACTTGTGTCTGTGACTGTTCTGAGGCTGCATTTGTCCTGCTTTGCGTTCCTTTGGACGCATTAAGTCCCGTTGACATCTTTTGGTATTGCAAGCAAAGCCGGTCAAATGCAGCCCTTGTTGTGTATCCGTGGCGCTATATTTGAATGCAAAATATAAAGCATCTAATAACTCCCTATCTACACGATCCCTAAGAACACATTGAACACCAGGGACGTTATTTATCACCGTGTCTGAAAAGAAAGACTGTCTTCATAGTCCCGCAAGCACCCTTCATATCCAGACTTGCACTGGAATGATCACTTTTAACCTCATTGGGGACTTTGAGGGAACACGGTCGGTTCCTAAATTAACAGTCCTAGGCCAAAGAGGAAGCCATGAGATCTGCCAATGCAACCTCATCCTCTTTTATTGGAGAAGTCCCATGACATCATCCAGTCTTGTTGGAATGGTCACATGATTTTGCCCTCTTGCTGGGAAAGTCCATTCGACTCTTTCGAGTGCGTTGAACAATTGTGGTTTCACGAGTTACAGGAGGATCGGCCATTTCTGTGGGTTTGATCAGAACACATCCTACCATTTCACAAGCCTTTGGTAAATGTTTCGGCTTATATCTCACAGACAGGTACACTTCGTTACGGCACTTTAAGCGTACGTGGCGAATTGCGGTGCGTTCACTGCGCTGAGATGGCTTCCCAGCTAATCAGGAAGCCAGGTGGCGAGTCATTACACGCCGCCTGAGTTCCGTAATGGGACTTTAGGTATCGGCATGTACCGAAAAAAAAAATATCGGTACTTGATACCGAAAAACCAAATTCATATGGAATTCAGGGACCGGTCTGTCCAATCCAGGAGCCAGCAGGATTTTTTTTTAGGCGCCAGCTGCATTGACACCTAGAGAACACCTCAAAAGTTTGTTGCCAGCGGTCATTATTAAGGAGCATTGGTGACCTTGTCCTGTTCTAATTACGAGGAAGAAACATGCGTCCTGAATTTGTTTTTTTGTTTGTAGCAATGTGTCTACAGGGAAAATTTTTCTGACAGCCAATCAATTTCTCCCTTTTCCTCCTTGGAAAATGTTAGCGAGAATATAATTGGTTAAATTGGGCAGTGGGCAAACTTTTTTTTTTTTCCAGACACTTTGATAAAGGTTTGTTTTGATGCGTTGGATTTTGCGTTTGGATTTTGGATTGTACGTGCATTGTTGTGGGGCAAGGGAGGAGGAGGGCTCGCCGTAGCAGTAATTGGCTAAAGGAGGGATGTGGAATCAGTCAATAGATCCTTAACCATAATTCTCTTTTATTCTCAGGAACTCCAATACCTTCAAATCCTTCGAAGAGCGCGTAGTGGGTCCAAAGGTAAGACCTGTTGCATTCAAAGACTCAGAGTTACAAATGAATGGAAAAAGCTTTGTTTAGGACTTTCGTAGATAGTTACATAGTTACATAGTATTTGAGGTTGAATAAAGACATTAGTCCATCAAGTCCAACCTATTAGGATCTCATTCTAGTAGTACCTGTACCCCTGTATATTACGGTCCCTTAAGAAATCGTCCAAAAGTTTCTTGAACAATTCCACATTATTTGCTGAAATCACCGCCTGTGGCAGTGAGTTCCAGACCCTAACTGATCTTACTGTGAAGAACCCCCTTCGCCCCTTGTGCTGGAATTTTTTTCCACCAATTTTAGGTGATGGCCTCTAGTTTTTGTAACGGAGTTAATTTTAAACAGTTTATCGCTAATGTTGCTACCACCATTAAACATTTTGTACATGGAAATCATATCCCCCCTTAATCTCCTCACCTCTAATGTGAACATGTTTAAATTTAGTAGCCTCGTCTCGTAGCTCTGGTCCTCCATACCCCTAATTAGTTTGGTTGCCCTTCGCTGGACTTTTTCCAACTCAAGGACATCTTTTCTTAGTACTGGTGACCAGAACTGGACCGCGTACTCCAGATGAGGTCGAACCAATGATCTATAAAGTGGCAAAATTATAGACTTGTCCCTGCAATACATCCCCTTTTTAATACAGGACAAGACCCTGCTAGCTTTGTTTACAGCAGCCTGGCACTGCAAACTACCTTTCAGTTTGTGGTCTACAATGACCCCCAAATCCTTCTCCATTTCTGACTTCCCCAGCGGCATACCCATAATTGTATAACCCATTTGTTTATTTTTAATTCCAAAGTGCATTACTTTGCATTCAATGAATATGAATATGTTTTGGGAACTCATTAAAAGTGAAGATATTGAAAGGGCAGCACAGTGACTCAGTGGTTAGCTCATATGACTTCCAGCACTGGGGCCCTTGATTAGAATCCTCACCAGGTAACTATCAGGACCAAGACACTATCGGGACCAGTACACGCTTCTGTGTGGAGTTTGCATGTTCTTTCTGGGCTTGCGTGGGTTTCCTCTGGGTACTCTGATTTAATCTCACACTCCAAGGACACGCTGGTAGTTTAAAAGGCTCCTGTTTAAAATGCCTCCAGTATGTTTGTGCGGGTCTAACATATTCCAGCTGCAGCCTCCTATGGCAAACCCTGGTTGCTAATGCAGCTCTGGTACCAACATGATAGTATATAGGGGTTTTTTAAAGGGCGTCTGTTACCTGTCTCCTGGTTCCTAGCAGTCCTATCACTGTGCATGTGCGCCGCCTCCGTGCTAGTGGCGGCTCTGCTTCCTTTTAAACGGAGTATGGAGTAGGAACCATTGGTGCAGTTGTGTGCAGATGTCTTATTTTATTCATTATAGATATTTTTATATAGCGCCAACAATTTCCGTTGCGCTTTACATACTGCACATACGTGATGAATAGAGATCTTGCTGCACTCCTTAACGGATAGGGATGACCTGCTAGACAGGTGGGTGCTCGAAGTGAGCACGGATGGCACCGTGAATAAACAGATGGGTAGAAATGTCACCAGCATTCAGTGAAATCAGCAAAAGTCCATTTATTGCAGGAACATTGCCATTCAAACACTAGCGCTTTCGGGGCCACAGGGTCCCCTTCATCAGGCTCAGAATGACGGCTGAGCTTGATGAAGGGGACCCTTTGTGGCCCTGAAAGTGCTGGTGTTCCTGCAATAAATGGACATTTGCTGGTGACATTTCTACCTATTACATACTACACATTCACATCAGTCCCTGCCCTCAAGGAGTGTCTAAGCTCCCCATCTCCCATGCATACATACATACATACATACATACAGGCACACACATACTAGGGCTGATTTTTTTTTTTTTAGACAGGAGCCAATTTGTCTGAAATACTGTATGTCTTTGAGTGTGGAAGGAAACCAGAATACCCAGAGAAAACCCATACAAGCACAGAGAGAACATGCAAACTCCATGCAAATAGTGACCTGACCGGGATTATAACCGTGGACTCTCATTGCTGCAAAGCACTAGCCACTAAGCCACAGTGCTGCCACCAGATGCACGTTCAGTGCAACATTTCATGAAGCCTAATGTACACTGGAGATCCTAAATTGCTTAGTCGAGTGATATTTACCTTATGAAAGAGTTCTGATGGAAACCTGAAATGAGAGCTGCGGCTATGAAAGGTTATTTTTATGATCCTGCTTGTTTTATAAAGCAGCAAGTTGACTGTAGTCCTAGCAGCATAACCTTTTCTTTGCTTCCTCCCTGCACGGTTCAGCCAAAGGAGTGAGAAAAGGAAGCCTTAGGTAAGCTCTGAGTCTCTCTGGTCATGGCTGAGGATACAAGGGTGAGAACTCCCTACCCCCGTGTGACAGCGATTGACCAATCACCAGTTCTGTTACATGAGAGCTTGGGAAATAAGTCACATGCTCTTTCATTCTCTCTATAGTACGGAGCATTTTCTTTGCTAGGCATGGATAAATGAAGACCTAGATGAGCAATGGAAAGAAG